CAAAGAATACTAATACTGATCTACCGTCTTCAAAATTCTTCAGGAACGTTCCGATTAATTTATACTCAAGAAAACAATCACTTTACCGATAAACGTTAGAAATTTTTACCATGTTTTTAATTAGAAGTCCAATCTAGGATCCTAGCTGAAACGGGGGCAACAGCGTGAAATCAAAGAAAGATCAAAAATTCACTGGTCAGTGACTGGTTACCTTTATGCGTGCCAAACAAACTAACTGTGAAAAAAAATAAGAGAATTGCTTATATTTTGCGGCAGGCCAACCCAATGCAGTAATCAGGAGGAGATAAACAGTCCTGGGAAGTCACAGCTGGCTTTGTTTTAACTTGTTATCGATCAAGAAAATTAAGATGAAACGATAGTGTTTTTCAGTCATCAAAAGAAGTAGAATTGCCAAACCGCTCTGTATGCTATAAATTCTGAGCGTTAAACTCTCACGCCAAAGCCGTACAACCTGCAGCTAGTCGCTTGAATCAAAATGTATCTGGCCTTCCCGTGGGGTTCGCGCAAATATTCCGAAGATCTCCAGTCTCAGCCGGCAAAGTTGACTTAGCTGTGTTCATCGGCTACATCCTTTTGCGCCAGCACAAAAACCATACCGGATAGGGCCTCTATTAACACTTGGGAACTGTGATTTCGGCGTAATTTCTGTAACGGAGCAAAGCTGATGAGCCACGCCGATCCCTAAAGTGGAGACTCAAAGATCGGGAGAGGTGTCGGTACGAAATTCTGTTCAGTGTAGCCTCAGTGTAGTCTACTGAATAACATAAAAATTTCTCTTGCTTAGAGATTTGTTAAACCAATTTGAGACTTACATTAAGTTGTTGAAATTTATCGCCGCACAACCAAAACGCCGAGACGAGGTATGAGTCACGGTTTGAAAGTTTTCAGATGCGGCCAAATTGAGTACACGGCTGGCACTACAGAAGAAAACCACACCTTAAGCGAAGATAACATTCTAATTGATACCAATAGGTCCAATGGTAAACGACAACTTTAACGAGGCTAACATTCTAAACAGGTCCAATAGTCTTTCTCAGGGCCGTTGTCTCAACAAAATATCGGTAAAGATTCCTTTTAAGTTTTCAATGGTTAACTAGAATACGCGATACTAGTGACTGACAGGCACGAAGGGAGTGGGTGCGACGAGTGGGCGCGCACCCCCCGCACACAAGCTCCGGAGCTCCACTTTTTTGTTGACCAACAACGTAAAACAACGTGAATTTGCGATACCGTGCCTGACAATTATCAGAACCCAGTTAGTTTCTTCATTTAAAAATTTTGAAGGTAAATCCATAGTTGGAGATTACTGCCATCAATTTCACCACGTAGCGGTGCAAAGAAAAGAAAAAGCAAAGAAATGTAGAAAGTCCCTAACATACGTAATGCACAATAATGGTGAACCAGTAATAATCTGAGCAGTTATGTTGTTGAAAAAGTCTATAAAGTAGAAGCTGTTTTAAAATTCTTAGATATGGTTTGAAAATTTCAAATTAAAACCCTGCCATTCAAAGTGATTCCAACACGGCCCTCTTCAAATAATCCCTGTTGCCTTAGCGACTGAAGCTCAAGCTCAAAGCTCCTTCGCTGAAACTGAGAGAAAAGAAAGCCCTTCAAGAGCATAATGGTGGATCGATGGTTCTTAGTGTAAACAAAGTCATCGCCCAATAGTGCCAATGCTAATCGGACCGGCAATTAAATACTCTAATAACCTCAACCAAAAATGACAGATTTTGTCCCACTGATTTTTGCCGAGGTCGGCTTGTCAGGATTATTGAATCAGCAGTACAACGTACAGGTAAAATTATCTTTGTTCTGCGCAAACAAATTTGCGGTATAAGTTTATAAACTAAAAGATTTTAGCCAAAGAGGAGCAGGTAGAATAACGAGCTTAGAATAACAGGCTATGTTGTGCTGTTTGCATGCAGACAACTCTTATATCCATGGCCAAAACTCGATTCCGTTACTCATGTAAAATTCCGGTTTTGTCGCTCAGAAAAGTATTTCAAGGTAAATTTAATCTTTAATTTCCTAATATATAGTGATTAAGTTTCTTTGTACAATGTATGGGGCATCCTAAAACAATACCCCATGTTCGTTATATCAAAATTCTAACATGACTGCGAGGCTTTCGGGTCCTTTTTGTTATTATTTATCATTTATTATTTATTTATTTCGCCACTCATATCTTTCTTACAGTAGTTTAAGATTGAAAAACGTAGTAGCTGGAAGATCTCTTCCAGCTTGTTACAGCTTTTTTAATGAGATCTCCCATTAGTTACAACAAAGTCTATTAAAACTTACGTTAATAACAGTCGTTTAATTAAATTCATTAATATCAGGGGCGGATCTAGGGGGAGGGTGCAGGGTGTGCGCACCCCCCCTTTCCCTTTGAAGATTAAAAATGTTGTAGGTGGTAGTCTACTTCCTGCCTTTTTACAGTTTTTTAAATGTATTTCCCCTTTGTTTCAAAATAGGGCATTAAAACTTAACGTTAAAAAAGGCTTTTTAATAAATTTATTTAATTGGAGGGGGGGCGTATGGGGTCGGGGCAGGGTGGGGCGCACCCCCCTTTTCCCCCCCCCCCCCCCCGAGATGAAGTGAGGTTTTCTAATACAACTGGTATTCTGTAAAAAACTATGTGGTTTATTGGTGTTGAAGTAGAGCAAGAGACGAGGGCACCCCTCCTAAAAAAATCCTGGATCCGCCCCCGAATATGTAGCAGTATATATAGATATATATAGTTCCTCTAACTCCAAGTTTATGCAGTAATATTGCATGATTAACAGTATCGAATGCCTTGGAAAGTTTCCCAATAGTATATTCATTCTTTCTATTGTAACCTGAGATCAGGCCCAATTTTAGCGGTTCTCATACATTTCCTCTAACGGCCGAAACGAAAATTGAGCCTGATCTCAGCCGTTATTCAATTGCTGATGATATTTTATCTCTGAGCTCTATTATTGCCTGTTGGACAGATCATTCAGCCCTAAATCCATATTGGTTTTTAAAGAAGATGTCATGTTTGTCCATAGTTCTTTGGTACATTATTTTTTTCCAGTATTTTGAAAAACATGGTAGCACTTAGATTGGTCGATATTTGGTTTTCTTTGTGTTCAAGTCTCTTCAATGTGGGAATTGCGGGACAATGGAGTGGTGAAAAATTTGTGTAATTTTGTCCCTATAGCCTCGGATCCTTGTTAGAATGTTCATATATCGAACGTTGCTGTAAGTTGTAAAAGGTGTTCATTCCCCGTGAAACGAGGCCTCGCGGTAAGAGGTTGATGAATTTGTCAAAATTGAATTCGTGTGTGGATCGAATATGATTCGTTACTCCTAAAAAGACTCTGCTTGTCTGATTAGGTTCCTATTCCCTGAATAAAAAAATCTGCAGAATACCACAATTTTCAATATCGTCAGTTACGAATCGTCAGTATCGTCAATTACTTTGTGCTGAAAATAAGTGCAGGAAACTGGCCACGGCTGGCATCAGTTGCATTCTTAGAAATCTTTGAATTGCTAAATGAAAACTTGATTCCTTCAACTTCATCCGTGTATTTTCCGTTTATCACATGCCACGATGACGGGCCCTCAATATGTGATACAATCTCATATATTTTGCCCCTCTCAAGGGAAACTGGGACATCAAACATGACATCAAATCCATAGTAGTCATTTGTCTCATCTTTCTCAGAGGAATACCTGCCCGTCAGTTTTAGCAGAGACACACCAATTGCCCCATCTTTCGTCACAACTTCTAATGAAACTGTGTATTTGCCACCTGCACTACCAAAATGCTGCACTCCATGTAAAATGACAGGTTTACTGACAGTTAGATTAATGGCATCAGACTTACCAAAGTAGTTCCAGGGACGATCAGAGATACCGCCCGGCTTTTCAAATCTGTAAACTCGATGCAAAAGACTAACTCTAATGGAATTCATGAATGGTAAAGACGAGTCTAAACCGAAACCACTGTAGTGTTTCATCATCAAACCAATCTCTTTTCTAGTCAGAATATCACAATCCACAACAACCGAAGCAAACTCCTTCTGCGACATCACTGGAAACCTTATCGCTTTCACAATTTCCTCACCAAGAATCCTTCTTTTGACCACGCCATCAGGAGTAAGTCTTTGCCTTTCCACTTCTTTGGTGGCCCAGCGATCAACAGCCTTGAATAAATCCACTTCCTTTACATTCAATCTCTCCCTTTTCACTACAGCCTCAACGACAGATCTCTCAAGCGTGACAAATTCTTCCGACGTCAGAGCATTCTCGGTGTGCGTCTCTATAACATCCCAGCACCGTTCTTCCAAATCTTTATCCTCAAATTTCTGAGTTTGCGGCAGGACGGAGAACACATTCGACGCCTCTAGATGTTCCTGAAGGTATTCAGAGCACTTAACGGCTAGTGAAGGCACCAGGTATTTCTTTGCCAAGTACAGAACTTGCATGACATTACTTCCGCTCAAGTTCACTTCATTGCTGTACAGAAAACGAAACAACTCAAAGAGACTCTCATAATCACAGTCAGGCAGTTGAATAGTGCCTGATGTTTCCGCCATTTCACCGTAGAACATGGCAAAGAAAACAGGACTGCTGATTGCAAGTATAAACTTGTGAGCTGGAATGCACTTCTGACTCTTCCGGCTTTCACTTTCGTTATGAGACGCAGGAACTACAAACTTCACATCACTTAATAATTCGTTATTGAAAATAAATTTGGTTCTCTCGCTGATGGTTGGACGTTTTGTTTGCCAGTTATCATCAAGAGTAGCCATTGCAGTGATTGCACCTTTCTGATTACAAGGTATACGAAGCTTGTACTGTCGTCACAGGGTCCAGAGGAGATGTGTTTGTCGTTAGAACTCAGAACCCGTCGATAAACTCTGAAAAAATGTCTTAAAATTTTGATCTCGTGACAGTTTCTATAGACCGCAAACCAAGAGACTGAGGGCTCGCAAGATCGGCTTACAGTATAAAATACGGCACAGTATAAAAACTGCACGGAAATGCTTGCTGCGCAGGCTAACTATTACTGAAGAAATAGGCCCCTTCAGGTTCTGCGTCCTGTAACAATAAGTTTATTGCACTCTATACCTAAAAACATAGATTTGACTGCTAAACCAGAAAAACGATAATACTGAAAGTTTTTGTAACAAATGGAAAACATACTCAGTATTTTTGTACTTAACTGTTTTAAGGATTTACCGATTTAGAAAATATGGGCCAAACACACTTAACGATCAACAACCGATTCAGGTCCTCCTTTCGAGGAAGTGGGGAGACAGGAGTTTCCAAAGTTCTGCCTCCTGTACCTTGTTTTATATTTAAATATTAATTAATTCCCTCCATTTCTCCCGCTTCCCTAGTTCCCTGCCTTTTAGAACTCCCACCTGCTGCTCTTTTCTCCCCCACCCCTCTCCTTTTCTCCTGAGTTCCCAGCCCCCTGTCTTCCCCCACCTCCTTATCCTATTAGTCTTGCAAAACACTCGTCACAAATATGATAACAACATTTTCCATCATCTGTTGCCATCTTCCAGTTGTTGTCTATACATCGACCTCCACAGCCTCCAAGAAGCCATGCACATGGCTCTACACCCAGAAGAGCTCAACACTCAGTTACATGTAGTGCATCTCTCTTGAGGGATCTCTGCAGTGGCGGCGTCTATGATACACATGATTCCATCTGCTAATGCAAATGCACCACATACAGCTGCCAGTGCTCTTGTATAGATCGGAAGAAAGAGCTATTTTTAGTCCCCAAAGGGTTATTTTGTTGATATCAAAACAACCTTACATAAGCGACTGTCCTGTACCGGAAGATTTTAATATAGTAGTGGCTTCCGGGGGGGGTACTCTACGAATTTCTGGGTGGGGATGTGCCGCTGGGACCCTGGAACCCTTAACCTATATAAGAGCTAGTTCAGCTGAATCTTGCTACCCTATACTAGAGTAAACTCCCCAAATCCCCCCTATCCTATAGTAGCTGTTTTGCAGAAACTACTAAGGTCACTATCACAGTCTAGCCGAAACAAAACCTTATACAACAATCCCTAGTCTAGATAAAATCTTCAACCAACTGATCAGTTTCCTGAAAAATGATACCCTATGCTAGGCCCAAACGCTCTGATTTATATACCCTATCCTAGAGTAGACTGCTTAAAAACCATACCCTTCACAGCGGCACATACCTATATAGCCCATATATGACAGTACCCCCCGGGGGTGGCTTCATAGTGGAAGGAGGTCGTTTACAAGAATCAAACAACAGGAGGTCTCTTACAGGAAGAAGAGGGCCATAAACATTTTCTCATCTTCTTTTTGAAAGTCGAAGATTAGATTCGTGCAATAATTTTTCTAAGTTACGAAATTAATTTGTAGTTCCACGTTAATTTTGTCACTGAAAGTTCTTCATAGAAGCCCTCTGATGGTTAGCCTTCCACGCAGACGTTCTTAGGGGTTCGACACGCGTTCGACGCGTTCCTGCCCCACTATTTCTTAAGAGTGGTTGTCAGGGAAAACGGGCAAAAAGTTAAAAATGTCACCCGAAGGAGCTGAACAGAATAGGCTAATACTAACATCATAGATAGCTTTGGTGGAGCGATGGAAAAATATAACAAACATAAGATCTTATCCCCTGCGGGGGGGGGGGGGGTTTTCCCTCTATAGGCTATATAATTTTGGGTATGGGCCGGGCCAAAGGGGAGGGTTTTTAGGCTTTTTTGGTTGTAAATAGGGTTTCATTTTTGAC